GGGTGGACCAAGCTCCATAGCATTCCTTCTGTAAGACAGTGTGTGGCCGAGCCCAGAGACTGGGCCAAGGTGGCGACTCTGCAAGAGGAGTGAACAGCAATCGGGAATCTCACCCTAGCTGCTCTGTTTCCTGAATCATTCATGAATCCTGTGTCTTCCTCTCTAGTCCTCCACCAAGCTGAATCATCCCATTTCTAGACGGTGGTCAAACCCCCAAGTAGTGCTGGAGCCCCCAGACTCTGCCCTACTAACCTGTCCTCCACTCAGTATTTCAGTATTTTTTTAAAGGATGTGTTTTTGGGGGCCCGGCACTGTGGCATAGCAGGTAAAGCTGCTGCCTCCGGTATAGGCATCCCATATGGGCACTGGTTCGAGTCCTGGCTGCTCCACTTCTGACCCAGCTCTCTGCTATGGCCTGGGAAAGCAGTGGAAGGTGGCCCAAGTCCTTGGGCCCCTGCACCCACATGGGAGACCTGGAAGAAGCTCCTGGCCAGGGCCCATGAACTCCTTCACCAGCTGGCTGCAGCCCGAGCAAGCAGACTCATGCCCCTTTGTCCATCACCTCACTCCTAGAATGTTCTTCCCCCGCCCCTAGCAATAGCGCAAACTCTCGCTCAGCCTGGAAGCTCCGGGCTGAGATGAGGCTTTGGCCCTGTGGGGCTCTGCACTCTGCGCTCCTGCGGCAACTCTGCTGACACCTCCTTGCCTTCCCTTGCTTTTCTCTTGAAAGACGGACTGCAGCTTTCGCATCCTTGCGTCCGCCGCCTCCCCCTGATTTAGGTCAAGCGGAAATCCTGTCCCGTGGGAGAGCTCCCGAGTACCTGCTGAAAGACGTGGGTCAGCTAATGATCACCTGCCCTCAACAATCAGGGCAATTGGCGGAGCTCCAGGAAACCCAGCCCCCACCCCACCTCCATCAGCTGTAAGATCTGGGGCAATGCCTCAGTGGCTCATTCGTTGGCCTCTTCCTTTGAACGGTCCAGCTGCGACTTGGCGTCAGGTGGCTCTGGGAGAGGCAGGTTACCTGGAGTGGGGAGAGTCGCAGGCTTCAGACTGACAGCTGCTGATCTTCGCTTGAGTAGATTTCCCCCTTGCAAAAGCTTACTGGCAATTGAAACTGCAAATCTGCGCTGTGCTCCCCTTTGTGAATTGCATTTACATTTAAATTGTGCCTTCTTCTGAAGGCTGGGGCTGGTAACTAGCAAGACTGAACTTGAGAGGAAATTGTGCCCACAGCCAACCTGAGACTGAAGTGACATCTGGCTTTTACTATTTCCGTTATTTCGGTTTAATAACAGCGGGTGGCATTAAGGGAAGAGAAATTGGATCCACGTTTTAATGAGAGGAGGAAGCTCTCGAGGTTGAGACTAAGAGGCGCAACACATTGAATACCTGGGTGATTGGCAACGAAAACTCGCCCCCTTCAAGAGATGGAATAAAATGGGGGAATAAGCAAACAAAACCAAGCTAAGGCCCAGGACTGCGCAGACAGAACACAGGGGGAGACTGCAAACACTGGGACCTGTATTTCAGGATGCTGCGAGTACGGGAGTTCTGAGGAGTGACGCGGCCGCAGCCTCACGACGACCCTGTGGCCCTAGAGAATCGCTCCACACGGAGGAGGGGCTCAGCCGCCATGGTGGTTGAACACCGGCTGTCATCCTTTCTGAATCTGGCTTGACTTAAACCCCAGAGATCTGTCCGAGCAGGTATTCTAGAAATGCCGGTTTCTTCCTCGTAGCCTGACTGTTGAAATGGAAGTGGTTCCACCTGCTGGCTGCTGTTCTGTCGAAAGCAATTCTGGGAAATGTAAACAAAATGCTTCTGCATCCTAATAACCCAAGCCTATCATTTATTTTCTTTGATGGAGACAAATGTGTCAATTTTCCAAGTCTTTGTTTGGAGAATCCAAAGTCTGGGTGTTGGTAAACGTTTGGGTTGCGTGTTTGGAAACTGGTGCTCTGTTCAGAGCGGGAGCCACAGCCTGGGAGCCCTTGGAGTCTTCCCAACCGTGCAGGATCTCCAAAGGGCGAATGTAAAAGGGGTGGGGCCTCCTCAGCAACAGACATTCTGAGGGTAGGCCCAGGAAGAGTTGGAATAATGGAAAATATTTACATAGTGCTGCCGAGGTGGCTTAGCGGGTTAAAGCCCCAGCCTTTAGTGCCGGCATTCCCTATGGACGATCCAGCTCTCTGCTGTGGCCTGGGAAAGCAGTAGAAGATGGCCCCAGTCCTTGGGCCCCTGCACCCACATGGGAAACCTAGAAGAAGCTCCTGGCTCCTGGCTTCAGATTGGCCCAGCTCTGGCCGTTGCAGCCATTTGGGGGTGTGAACCAGTGGATGGAAGATCTGTGTGTGTGTGTGTGTGTGTGTGTGTGTCTTCCTCTCTCTGTAACTGCAAATAAATTTATAAATCTTAATATATAAATAAATAAAAATTTAAAAATAACCTATTGGCTTGTTGGGAGTGCCCTATAGGGAAGGTACCAGCGATTTCCATTGCTGAAGAGGAGGACCCAATGGGGTTCGTCACTTACCTTATCCTTCCCCACCCAGCTGGGAAGCGGGCAGGCCGGCTCTACTGCTGCCCCCTTCAGCCGTTTCAGACAGTTCCCTCTGTCCCCGCATTTAATCAAGCCATTGCATTTTCTCCGGTTACATTTTGTCTTGCCTGTTTTTAAATCCCAGCAGTCTTTCTTGAGAGGCACGAGTTAGGAGTCTGACGGATCTTGCCTTATGCAAAATAAAAGCAGCAACAACGGCCTTGTGCAGAGTGGGTGACAGGGGTGCCCGGGTGTGCGAGGAGGGCCCAGACCACTGTGCTTCTGCAGCATGCTATTTATCTCACCCTGTCCTGGTTCTTTTTCTTTTCCTTTCTTTAGATTTATTTATTCATTTGAAAGAGAGAGAGGGAGAGATCAACCTCCCACCCATTGGTTCACTCCTTAAATGGATGCAACAGCCAGGGCTGGGCCAGGCTGAAGCCAGGAGCCCAGAACTCTGTCTGGTTCTCCCACGTGGGTGCAGGGGCCCAAGCACTTGGGCCTTCTTCTGTTACTTTCCCAGGCACATTAGCAGGGACCTGGACTGGAAGTGGAGCAGCCAGGACTCTAGCGCTCACATGGGGTGCTGGCGTTGCAGGCTGCAGCTTAACCCACTGTGCCACAATGCCAGCATCTCTCTCTCTCTCTCTCTCTCTCTCTCTCTCTCTCTCTCTCTCTCTCTCTTTCTCCTTACATGAGAATCCTTAGTGAATTCATATCAGTTTCTTCCACTTCCCTGGTCTCCCTAGAACACACGGCCAAACTGCCCATCATCCCCTGTGGGTGTTTCCCCGGGCGCCCTGGACTCTTGAGTTTGAGTTCTTTTTCTCCCCAGTCTCTGGGCAGCCCTTGGGCTGGTAACTCCACCTCTCTTGACTTCATTACGGCAGTCCACCGATGAGGCCCACCGGCGCCTCCTTGTGTTTGTGCTGAAGTTAAATTATGTTGGCACGGATCTGTTGCTAAGGGCCTTGCTGATGTCACACTGTCAGGATTATGACTGCCATAATATCTGACAAGCAGAGGGGGACTGGTTGCTAGTGGAAACCCTAGGGTGACACTCACCCCAGTTTAGTGACTAACCCAGCTGCGTAGACTTTAGACAGCCATGTGAAGGGGTAAGTGGATTAATCACCCAGTTGGATTCCATTTGAATATTGTCTTCCATATGTGGGTTCCCTCTGGGCCATTGTCTAGTGTCACTTGAAATTGATGAGGGCTCTTTTGGAGGTTATTTTTGGGAAGCTGGCGAAACAACAGACAGCTGTTCTGAGAACAAATGTCACAGGATCTGCCTGAGCCGGCTTCCAGTTAAAAAAAAAACCTGAGGTGCTGAAGGGCTTTGTCCTTTTCTCCCCAGAATTAGGTTTTTCCTAGTGACCTAAAGGTGCTAATGCAGCTCCCAGACACAGAAAAGGAGAAGCCAACGTTCGCTGAGTGCCGAGAGTGTGCGAGAATGCGACTCCTCGCCCACCGCTCTGGAGTGGAGAGCGCACTGGGCGTGGGCAGACCACCCTGTGTGTCACGCACGCCGCGCAGGGACGTTCTCCCTAATCGGAAGCTGACCGATCACCAATGAAAGCAAAGTCATTACTTAAAATTGGTCCGGACTCTCCCATACTGGGTACTTACCTCGCAGTCATTTTCTTAAAAAACCTTGAAGCACGATCGAACCGAGGGATAATAAATAAACTCCGACATTAAAATCCGTTACGAGGTTTGACAAATGACCGTGTGTTGGGCTTTTAAGGAAGTGCAGGGGTCCGTTTTGGAAATGCAAGGGTCAATGGTGACTCAATCTGAATTGGAGGCAGCGCCAGTTCGGAGAGCCCCTTCAAGACTTGCACAAATCTCTATAAATCAATTTGTGTGCCAGAGAATGAGTCGCTGATTTTTTTTTTCCAAATGCCAATTCAGCAATTACAAAGTCTGCTGGTGGCTAATTAAAAAGTACCATCTCGTTATGCTCAGAGTGAAATTGCAAGTGTGAAAACTACTAGTGTTCGCAATAACCAACAGCTCGGGACTCTCTGTACTATCATCAAAAGGAGGGCAGGGATAAATAACGTTCATTTAACTCGCGAGAAAAATCTCTCAGCTCCTTCATATTTAATTAACTTCTCGTTGTCTCAGAGCTCAAATCTTACTCAGAGTTCCTGAGCGGCAATGGAAATATTTGCTCATCTGTCTGCAAGATTTTTCTCTCATTAGCTGAGCAGAGAAGCCTGAACCCCAAGGACACTGGGGAAAGTGACAGCCATCCAAAGGTGTGCGCGCAGCCAATGAACCCGAGCCAGGCTTTACTGCAGGAAAAAAAAAAAAATAAAGCAGGAAGTGGAGATTTGTGCTTTATTGCTTGTGAACAGGGAAGATGGATCGTAAACACTTTTCTGGGCTAGTAGTTTCACTTCTTATTTGTCAGGCTGTCTGCATGAATTTAATGTTTTCCTATTTCAAGGATTCCGCTGTCGGACAAGAGGCCCGACTTCTGTCACCATGGTGGACGTGAGGTGTCTGAGCGACTGTGAATTGCAGAACCGACTGGAGGAGCTTGGATTTTCACCCGGCCCCATCCTACGTATGTGTCCGGCACACGACACCAGCGGCTGGCTGTTCAGTGCTCACGCGCCACCGCCAAAGGCACTGTCTCAAGAACGCATGCGATAACAGAACGCGTGCAGTAACAACTGGTACCGTAGTGTGGGCGGGGGCGGGGGGAGCAAGCAGAGAACCCGGAGGGGGAGAAGCCGTAAGTATTCCCGGAGCCCGCTTAACAGATGAGTGAGCATGGGACTGGCCCTTTCAACCGCAGAAACCCGGTTGCTCTCTCGGTTATCCTGGCCTGGTTTTTTGTTTTGTTTCTAGCATGCACTGTTTGGGTATCTCTTGTCTGTGTTCCCAGGAGGTAGAACACAATCTTGCCCGTCTGGCCTCCAAGGCCTGTCTCTGCAGCTAAGCCACAGTGGAGGGGAAGGAGTGGCCCCGGTCACTGTGGGGTCCACCTCATTTCAAAAGCCATGATTAACCCCTGATGGAAGGGATGAGAATGAAGGGAGACCTTGAACCCACCAGGGCCACATTCAAAAGCAATTTCGTTTGTTCCCCGTGTGCCTCCGCAGCTTCCACCAGAAAAGTGTACGAAAAAAAGGTACTGCAATTGTTGGCCTCCGCTCCCTGTGCCTCACCTGTCCCGAACAGACCCGTGAAGCTCGAGGAGTCCCCGGACAGTGACGACAGCGAAGGTACGCTCACCAGCGGCACCATCAAACGGCCGCTCCCCACCCGCTGAGACCTTGTCCTCCGTGGTGGGTGCATTTTCCGGGCTGCTCAGGCCGACCTGGGAAGTGGCCGTGTGGCCTGCTTGTTCACAGAGCCTGCGAAGCAGGTCCCTGGGCAGCACGAGGAATCTGTAACCCCACGTCTGTGTTCACCCCAGGGACACGGCCCGGTGGGAAGTGGTGGGGAGCACGGGTCCACGTGCACGTCCTGCTACTCACTAGAAGCAAACACGCTGGCTCCTTAAACCAAAAGTTCCTGTGGACAGACTCGGGGTCGCCTCTGAGGTCTTGGCCCCTGGCTTGTCCCCGCCAACAACTTTGGCCATCATTTCCTTCAGTCTGAATGATGCCATGCCTATTAAGAAAGACTCTCAGCTCCTGGACCCCTTCTCCGTCAGCTGCCCTCCTGACATACATGGGGCCTGGCAGTGCTGCGGCCTTCGGGGCAGGCGCCCAGCAGGAATCCAGTGACGCCCGCTGCATCAAAGCCGCAGAACTGAGGGCTGAGCCAGGACTGCCTCAAGTTTGCTCTCTGCACTTCCCTCCTCATTTTTCTTATGGGAATGCACGCCTTATGTTGTGGAGCACTTATGATTTACAACAGCGAACAACTTCATGAAGCTGGAATCATGCAAGTGCCTGCGACCCTCTGAAAATTCCCCTGCACTGTATTGGAGAAAGCGTGGGTGCTGGGTGCACTCCCCAGGGGTCGGGCACACTGGCCTCATCTGAAGAAGGCAGCACGGTTAGGGGATGGGCCCCCCTGGCCCCCGGGCAGGACGGTGAGCCTGGGGGTCCTCGGGCTGGATGGCGGTCCTCAGTGTAGCATGTGTTCAGAGCCCTGTGCTAGCCCCGGGCCTCTCTCTGTCTCTTGCCTTGGAAAGGAGCTCAAGAAATTAGATGGGCCCTTGAGGGGAAATTTAGTGCTGGATTCCAAAACTGCTCAGCACTGCAGGCCAAGGCTGCAAGACCAAGCTGTTGTGGTTCCTGCACACGGCCTCCACGCAGGTGCATCTGCGTCAGGGCTAGGGGACAATCGGTCCTTCAGGTTGTAAGCTTGGCTGCTCCTGACTGAGTGCCCCTGGGGCCAGCTGGCTACAGGCCACCAGGTGAGACAGGGAGCTCTGATTCAGTCCTGCCCAGTGACACTCATTTGTGTTGTAACCGGCCAATGAGAGCAAGCCGAAAACCCAGCCAGGTCTCCAGGCTGGGTCAGAACCAGACTTGTGAATTTGTTCATTGGAAGAATCCCACGGCCTCTGGAGTCGTTAGAAGGGTTTGAAATGGAACTAATTGTATGTGTGTGTGTGTGTGTCCTGTGGAGATTCAGCCTTGGCCGTTTCACAGAAACACCTGGGGTGAGGTTGTGGGGGTGGGGGCAGTGGGACAGGGAGTTCTAGACCTGTGGGCTGAGTATTATGTGGGTGAGAGCTCTCTTTTTAAAAAATTATTTATTTATTTGAAAGGCAGGCAGACAGAAAGGTCTTTACTATTCACTCCCCAGACGCCTGCACCAGCTGCGGCTGGGCCAGGAGCTGAGTCCAGGTCTCCCATGTGGGTGGCAGGGAGCCGAGTAGCTCCCAGGGTGCACAGCAGCCCAAGCTGGATCAGAAGTGGAGCAGGGACTCACAGCAGGCACTTGGATGTGGGACGCTGGTGTCTTGAGCCGTGTCTTAACCGCTATGTGGAACACCTGCTCAGTGGCGTGGCGGGGTGGGGTGGGGGTGGGGTGGGGCGGGGCTTCTCTCTCATCCTTGTCTTGGCACGGGGTGAACACAGATTGACTTAACTTTATTTCAGGACTCCCACGTATGTTTAACTTGGTAAGCTTATTCAAACCCCTCCACTAAAAGCTGTGCTCAGCCTGCCCCAGCCCCGGGCTCCCGCTCAGTGGTCTAAGGACTCCGTCCTCTGCTCATGGCCGGCACTGTGCCGCCCTGGCCGTTCCCTGGGTGTTCAAGTCTTTCAGTGGAAGCCTGTCCTTCCCTCTGCGGGGTGCTCCCTTAGATACAGCTGGGAAAAAAATCCCCAAATCCCCCTGCCCTAGGTGGACAGGCGGGGACACATAGGGCCTCCAGCTGGCTCCAGGGGACAATGACTGGACTGGACAGAGCTGTCCAGAGGAGCAGCCAGCACTGGTATTCCTCTCGGAGACCGTGCAACACTGGGGCACTTCAAAAAGCTTGTGGGAAAATGGAATTCAAAGATGAGTTGATTCTGGTGCCCGCGAAGTGTGAGATCCACGCGGAGGCTTTTCATGTTTTCTGTGAATTTTTTGAAGGCCCCAGTATTGCCGCTTCCCTGTTTTGGGAAAAGCATCACAAAGCCTCCTGCCATTCTGGACAAAGGCTTGCTCTACTCCGAGGGCGCTGGGACCGTTCCTCCTCCCACCAAAGCCCCCTGGGGTTGACCGGCGAGCGCGTGCGCGTTCTCATGGCCTGTTCTTTGTTTCCCACCATCCAGAGCTTAGTATCGTTTTGAAAGGAAATATCAGACTCTCTGCAGAAAAAAGCAAGGAACTCAAAAAAGTATGTACAATCCTAATGCATGAATGCTTTCACATCTTAAAAGTAGGAAGTAGCACTTTTGCTGTGGGTTGAGAAACCGCAAGCTGCTGTATACTGTCAGACCGGCAGGATCCTAGGCTCGCGGGGATCGTCCTTAAAGTCTGCATTTATTTTATCTGCTTGCAAGACAGGTTTACTCCCCAAATACCTGCTACCGTCAGGGCGGGGCCAGGCGGAAGCCAGGAGCTCAGTCTGGGTCTCGCACTTGGTTGGCAGAGACTCAACTACCTGCGCCATCACCGCTGCTTCCCAGGGTGCAGGCCAGCAGGGAGCTGCGGTTGGGAGAGGGGCCAAGACCCAAACCCAGGCTCTCTGGAGTGGGTACAGGAGTCCCAAGGGGCATCTTAACTGCTGTGCCCAACTCACACCCGAACGAGATCATTTCCTTCTTCTTTTGTTTATTTTTTATGTATTTGAAAGGCAGAGTTGGCCGGCTCCGTGGCTCACTAGGCTAATCCTCCACCTTGCGGCGCCGGCACACCGGGTTCTAGTCCCGGTCAGGGCGCCGGTTCTGTCCTGGTTGCCCCTCTTCCAGGCCAGCTCTCTGCTGTGGCCAGGGAGTGCAGTGGAGGATGGCCCAAGTGCTTGGGCCCTGCACCCCATGGGAGACCAGGAGAAGCACCTGGCTCCTGCCTTTGGATCAGTGCGGTGTGCTGGCCGCAGCACGCCGGCCACGGTGGCCATTGGAGGGTGAACCAACGGTAAAGGAAGACCTTTTTCTCTCTCACTGTCCACTCTGCCTGTCAAAAAAAAAAAAAAAAAAAAAAGGCAGAGTTATAGAGAGAGGAGGAAACCCCCAACCCCCCCCCCCCCCCCGCCAACACACACAGATGTTTCATCCGCTAGTTCATTCCCCAAATGGCTGCAACAGCTGGGGTAGGGCCATGCTGAAGCCACCAGGTCACCCATGTGGGTGAGGGGACCAAGCACTTGGGCCATCCTCTGCTGCTTTCCCAGGCACATTAGCAGGGAGCTGGATCAGAAGTGGAACAGCCGAGACTAGAACCAGTGCCCACATGGAATGCCAGTGCTTGGGCGGCAGCTTTACCCACTATGCCACAATGCCAGCTCCTCAGGGAAATAATTTCAAAGATTTTTTTAAAATTTATTTGAAAGAGTTACACAGAGAGAGAAGGAGAGGCATGGGGGGGGGGTCTTCCACCTGCTGGTTCACTCCCCAATTGGCCACAATGGCTGGAGCTGTGCCGATCCTAAGCCAGGAGCCAGGAGCTTCTTCTAGGTCTCCCACGTGGGTGCAGGGGCCCTGGGACTTGGGCCATCTTCCGTTGCTTTCCCAGGCGCATTAGCAGGGAGCTGGATCAGAAGTGGAGCAGCCGGGACTAGAACCAGTGTCCATATGGGATGCAGGCACTCGGGCGGCAGCTTTACCGGCTACACCACAGTGCTGGCCCCAGGGAGATCATTTCAGTGCAGGGTCTGTTTGGGGAAGTGATCTCCGTGTTCTCCCAGAGCACCTGGGGTAACAGGTCCCTCCCCGAGAGCTGCCCCCCGCTCCCCGCAGTATCACGCCCTCCACCCCATCCTGTTCTGTCCAGCACTGGTAATCCACACCGGCGCTTCAGTTTGTAGAAAATGAAATTAAAAGATATGCTGCTTGTTTCAGTGTAAAAAAATAGAAATCCATGCCTATGAGGGCTTGTGAGAAATGCATGTGTTGCAAAGACCACGCATGGGGTTCAAAAACCTTTTGCACGTTTACGCGCTTCTCTTGAATCCCATTTCCCCAGTGCTGCCTGAGGTGCCCTGGTACACTCGCGCAGGCCCGGGCTGGTTCTGCCGAGGTCCACAGGAAGCGTGGAATATACACAGCCAGTTCCCTCCCTCCCCTTCTCCCACGCTAGGCCTGGCTTCCACGGGGCCGCCCTAGTGGATCACAAGGGTCACGGGTTTGAGGCTGAGGCCTGGGAGGGGGACAGCCCCTGCCCCCCAGGCTCCTCGTGTGCCTCAGGGGCTCTCCGTAGCAGATGTAAACCCACACAGATTAAGGTGAAGCCGGGTGTGGAGTGACGGGAGTGGGTCACTCCCGAGTGGGTGCTCGGTCCCAAACTCCGGCGCCAGCTCTGGCGACTCTGCCTCAGCCTCTGACCTCCGCCCTGCCTTGTTCAGAGACACCCGCCTCCTTAGATTCCAGCAGCTCTGTGCTCCCTGGGTTCTTTTTTATTATTATTATTTTTTTATTTTTGACAGGCAGAGTGGACAGTGAGAGAGAGAGACAGAGAGAAAGGTCTTCCTTTGCCGTTGGTTCACCCTCCATTGGCCGCCGCGGCCGGCGCACCGCGCTGATCCGATGGCAGGAGCCAGGTACTTATCCTGGTCTCCCATGGGGTGCAGGGCCCAAGCACCTGGGCCATCCTCCACTGCACCCCCTGGCCACAGCAGAGAGCTGGCCTGGAAGAGGGGCAACCGGGACAGAACCGGCACCCCGACCGGGACTAGAACCTGGTGTGCCGGCGCCGCAAGGCGGAGGATTAGCCTAGTGAGCCGTTGCGCCGGCCTCCCTGGGTTCTTGGTTCTGCGCTGCTGACGGGTTCTTTCCCGGCTCACTGTCTTTGTCTTGGCCCTTAAGTGGCCCTGGGCCCGAGATCTCTCCCTCAGCCCCCTCTCTCACCTGCCAAATCTACAGGACAGTTCTAGGGATGATGGGCCAACTTGCTCCTACAAGGGGCCTGAAAAACTATGCAAAATGAAATGAAAGGATAAGGTTTTTTTTAATGCAAAAGCTTTCAGAATCTGCGTGTGGTTTTTATGAGGTTTTTGGGGGCCCTCCGTGCGGCTTCATAAACAACCTGCAGCGTTTAAACACATACAGCCCCCAATGAGCACCGCGCGATGTGGTTTTGTTAGGGTCGACTGCCCGAAAAACGTCACCAAGAGACATCTCTTATGCAAACAGCAAGGGGAAGCTTTATTGATTATCCAGCATGCTGGGGCTGTCTGATCATACATGAACAGAGCAGCCCCGAATAACCAAAGGTTAGGGTTTATAAAGGCAAAAACCACAAAACCGGGAAGGGGGGAATACACGGTTGCTATGCACGGTTGCTATACACAGTTGCTAAAATCAAAAGAGAGTACATAAAATCAAAAGAGTATATGGTTACTGGGGTCAACATAACCTAAAACCTAATTGAAATTAATATTTATCATAATCTTGACAATACCAGTTACAATATTACAATTAGCAATTAGGACTTGACATTAATGTAAGACACAGACAAATCACATCTTTATTATTAGCCCAGGTAACCCAGGTGCAACCTTTCTACTTTTAAGCTTGAGCAGTCATGCTAGGGGGTTTTTGTGCATTGCCAAGGGTGATGTAGTGCACTGCTATTGTCCGACTATTTGAGATCATAGTTTCAGACCAGAGTCTCACAGTGGGGGGTGCTTTCCCAGAATGCAGTCTCAAGTGCTCCAAAATGGAGTCCCTACTGCCAAGGTGCTACTCTGTCTTATTTTTTTACAGCTGTACCAGCAAGGTTTAAACCTGTAAGCTTAAGCTTAACTTTTTACACCTGCACATATACAATTTTAACTCTTCAGTTTCACTTCCCATGAACATAATTCAAGTCTGATGAAGCAATTCAGATAGCATGTCACACTCTGCAAAAAGATTTTACAAGTTCTTCCCAATGGCTCATTAAAGGAATCCTGCCCATTCAGGAAGCCCTTTTGTGTGGTCCCTGCAAAGAGTTCGCGGAGAAAAAGGCAACCTGAGCACGCTTAAAACGCTTCAGGTGGGGCCAGAACCCTTCAGCCACGGCTTCCGTCAACCTGAAAGAAAACCGCATCAATATTTTGAATTGGCGCTGGCGTTAAGCGGGAAGTTTGTGATGGCGTAAACTCTTTGGAACTGAAGGGTTTATTTAGGCCATTTTGATTCTCAGAAGGGCCTTGAGACATCTGCTCAACTTTAAATCCAGAAGTAAATATAAACAGGCATTTCCATTTCCATGTGAAAGTGTGTTTATTGAGACACTTGTCTAACACCATAGACTTTAATTACTTAAGCGCAGTGGTCTGTACCCGTCCTGTCAGCGCCTGGAAAGGAAGGAGTTGCCTGCCTTTGTGTTCTCTTCTCATCTGAGCAGGAAGACACGCAGAACGGAGGCTGCTTTGAGCACTGGACTGTGTCCTCCGGAGCGCTGCCTGTGCGTCCTCACTGGGTCACGAAGGCCGCTCAGAAGCCAGGGAATTTTTTTGTTTTAGATTTGTTTATTTGAAAGGCAGAGTTACAGAGAGAGAGAGAGAGAGAGAGAGAGAGAGAGAGAGAGAGGCAGAGAGCGATCAGTCGTCCATCTTCCATCTGCTGGTTAAAGCCAGGAGCCTGCAACTCCATTTGGGCCCCTCACGTGGATGGCCGGGACCCAAGCGCTTGGGCCGTCTTCCACTGCTTTCCCAGGTGCGTTAGCAGGAGGCTGCATCGGAAGTGGACTTGGACCGCCACCCACATAGCATGCCAGAGTCTCCAGAGGCGCTTCACCCGCTGGGCCGATCTGAAGCTAGGAGCCTAGAACTTCCTCCAGGTCTCCCACGTGGGTGCAGGGGCCCAAGGACCCGGGCCATCCTCCGCTGCTTTCCCAGGCCATAGCAGAGAGCTGGTCTGGAAGTGGAACACCTGGGATTTGAAACGGTGCTCATATGGATGCAGGCACTGCAGGTGGCAGCTTTACCCTCTATGCCACAGTGCCGGCCCTTAATTAAAAATCTTGGGAGAGAGAGAGAAAGAGAGGGAGGGAGAGAAGGAGGGAGGGAGGGAGGGAGGGAGGGAGAGAGGAGACAATAGGATTTGTGGCTGGCAGCAGGCAGAGTAATTCACAATAACAGGTTGCACCAAGTGGGCTTTGGGAGGGGGCAGCCATGTAATTGCCATCCCAGCCAGGATACCTGTGAGAATGAAAGGGGGCACTAGGCAGAAGGGGTGCTGGGACAGTGGCAGGAAACTGGCACTGTCCTGGGTAAGTGGGGGCACTGGCGTCCCAGGGTAGGGAGCAGTGCCAAGAGCTGCATGTTTGTATGAGCGCACCTTGTCTTCGGGGGGCCCTGGCCCTTGCGGGTGTGGGGGAGTGCTTCCAAGCCCCCTGCCCCACCTGGGGGTTACCGCACTCCCTGCAGGCACCACATGCCCATTCCTGCCCAGGATCGCAGCCCTTCTGCTCTGCCAGCCTGGACGCTCCCTGTACACTGGGCTGGGATTTCTCCGAATGCCTGCAGTTAGTCTGGGTTAGGCATCTGCCTTTGTAGCCACCTCCACCGCATCCTGCCGAGGAGCTTTTACTCTGGGTTGTAAGATGTCGGTGGTGAAGACCCGTGGCTTCGACTGCTCTGTGTTTAACTCAGTGCCCGGCATCTGGGGAGGAGGCAGCTCCTCAGCTCCCCGCAGCCACACCGAGGAGCCTTCTCCTCCACTGAGGTTGATGGTCTCTGTCCCTGCACCATGCCCTGTGTCTCTTAGACACGCCTTGACAGACAGCGCTTAGGTCATCGTGAACTGACGCCCATCGAGAGAAGGGCTGTGACACAAGCGTCCACCCCAGGAGTCAACAACTTTTTATTAAATGTAGGATGTAGGAAGATAATCAGTGCAGAAGGAGGCATCACTTCCATCTGGAAGCAAGGAGTACAGGTACCAAACACGGGCCCCAGAGCCTGCCCACCTGGGCTGCAGTCTTAGCTCTGCTAACACAGACCCCACCTCCCTCTGTCTTCGTCCACCCATCCCTAACCGAGGGTGACAATGGCCACACCTCACAGGACGATGCAAAGATCGAGTTCAACCACACAATGCAGAATAGCAATGGGGATGGCACATTGGTGCTGTTTGTGCACAGTTAAGAACTGTTACTATCATTAACACACTTTCTATATAAAAAGCGTGACACTTGGGCCTGCGTTGTGGCATAGCAGGTTAAGTCACCGCCTGCAATGCCGGAATCCCATATGGGAGCTGGCTCCAGTCCCGGCTGCTCCATTTCTAGTCCAGCTCCCTGCTAATGCCCCTGGGATGGCACCTGGGCCCCTGCACCCACAGGGGAGACCTGGAAGAAGCTCCCGGCTCTTAGCTTTGGCCTGGCCCAGCCCTGGCCATTGCAGCCATTTGGGGAGTGAACCAGCAGATGGAAGATATTTCTCTCTCTCTCTGTAACTATGCCTTTCAAATAAATAAATATTTTTTTAAAAAGTGTGATGTTTAATCATCCGTAATACAAAGCAACATGAAAAATAACACGGGAGTGGAATCCTTGCGACTGAATGCCTTAGTGCTGTAGCATGGGACGCGTCAGACTCCTGCAGACATATTTATACAAGCCAGTATGTGGATATTCCCCGTCCTCCTCGCCCTTGACAGTTAGCGAGTGCAGGCTGATTATGATCTGTCTCTGCCCACAGGCTGTTCCTCACATTAACCAAGGCTTCAACTCCGCAGACACCAGCTGTGTGTCCAGCAGCTCCCTCCTGGGCCGCCGCTGTCGGCCCGAGTTAGCGTCAGGTGCCGCGGGTTGAGAGGCTCAGTCCCACAAGACTGCCTCCCGCCATCGAAGAGGCTCACGTTCGGGGTCTCCCATGCTTCTGTTCGAACAGCTATAAATCAGGGTTCCCACGACCCCCTCTCTGGGTCTGAGAATTTACCAGAACAGCTCCCACTTCAGGAGGTATCGAGAAGCCAGCATCCAGGCCCTCAGCGAACGCATTCCTGTTGGCGTCAGTACGTCCAGGCCTTGCTGTGGACAGGGCTGGATGTCTCTGCGTCCTGGTGCGCACTGCATTTGTGTAGATTAGGGAGTCGTGCACCGCGTAGTGCTTTTGACCGTGGATGGCATAGGTGCTGGCGGCCCCACAAGATAGCATCGCCAGGCGATGTCTCAGTTTGTGTAGGTGCACTCTGTGACGTCTACACAACAAAATCACCCAACGGCGCATTTCTTACAATATACACACGGCTGCCTAGGTAATGAGAACTCATGAGTTCACACCGCTCTAAATTAGAATCCAATACTCCCCTCATGAATCGGTTCTCGGACAGTGAGTCCTTTGTCCTCGATGTATTTACTTTGTGCTTCATTGGCGAGTTTTCTCGTGTAGCCAGTGTCGTGGTCACAGTAGCCACCTCCTTCTTTGCATAGCCACTGTCACTGCTTCCTTGACCACGGACCGACTGCCAGGACTCCCTGTGGCCCCCCCCCTCCTGTCCTCTTCCTTGGCCACAGGGCACATGACAGCCGCATGCTGCTCCCACGCTGACCGCTCCAGGCCTTCAGCCACCAGGCACCTGCTAGTTTCACAGCCTTCCACCTTGCAGGACTCCAGCTCCGTGTGTGGTAGGCCCTGCCCTGCACACGAAGGCCTTAGCAGAGCTGATACGAACAGCTCTGCAACAGTTTCTTCTCGTGGAAAACACCCTTCTTCCCTGTAGGAGTTGAACCTCTGGTTGGGGCAAAGTGAAGAGCAAATTGCATACTCAGTAACTGCTTAATAAGCCCTTTATTCTTACCTTTGACACACGCTAATGGGAGCTAAATGCCATCTTTACAAGGAATGTCATTCCACAGGCTTCCTGTGAAAACACTGACCGCCCAGCAGACATGCTCTGGGGGTGCTTAATGAGCAATGTGTCTCGTCTTGCTGATTACACGTTGATTTCTCTGTGCCATAGAACCCAGGTTTTGAAAGACCAGAGGAGCAAGAGGACAATTGTGATTGTAATAATTTCAAGGTGACAGTCAAGGTAAGCTTACTTATTTTCCTGTAACTGAATTATGAGCAGGGGTGGTCTCCTTTTGCAAGAAAAATATGAATTTGTTTAAAAAACGCTCAGTTTTCCTTTCTTTTTCATCGAAACTGTAGCCATCTGCCTTGAGCTAAGCTGTTTGCTTTATGGACAGAGATGTTTGTCTCCATTCCAGGGAGCAGGGCCCTGCTGCACCTCCCGCATGGGCACCGGTGAGCTTATTTCAATCCCTCTGTACTCATCAAGATTCCGTGGGCACCACGCAGTGTTCACACCCAGGCGTGGCTTACTGTGGGTAATTATTCTTCATGCACATTCCTGTCTGAAGGGCTTCTTGGAGAAGGTGCCATAGTTCACCTGACAGACCAGGAAACAGGCAGGACGGAGGACTGGCCTGGGACCACATAGAGTGTTAGAACAAAAGCTGGAAATAGAGTTTCAGGCCCTTAATTTCCACTTTGTTGCCCTTTCCCATACATCAAGTGACCAAGAGGGGGCCCGGAACGGGGCACCTAGGTGGTGAAATAGCACCCCCCAGTGTTCCTCCTTGGTATTGCAGAAAGAGCCAACAGAGCGATGGGAGGACTTTGTGATGATAGCTTTATGATGACTGTATGTAAGACTCACAAAAGCCACAATTCAGAAGTAAGCAGAGTTGGAAGGGGACTGATATATATGAAGCCGGGTAGCTGGAATTTGTCCAAGTGGAGAGAGAAACAAATTTGAATCTGATAACCTCTTCGCCAGTTTGTTATAACTCATGCATCTGAAAAGGGATAAAGAATTACAGAGAGTAGTTGGAGTCCCACCTGAGAGATTAAAAAGTGAATCATAAAAGAATCATTGCCAAATTGGTTGAAGACCCCAAAATATCCCTCTAGGATCATATGTCCCCTTCCTCTTTCTTTTCCCCAGGGTGACCACTCCCCTGAATTTTCTCTTTTCGCTGGTTCTCTTTTCTTTACGGTATCTGCAGATTCTAGACTTCATGATTGGATTTTGTTTAAATGGCATCGTAGTGTAAGCTTCCTTCTCAGCTTCCCTTTCTTGTTCAGCCCTATGTGGTGGGCGTCATCCAATACTGTGGCTCTGCGCCACTCCTCATCACTTGTATACAGAGTTAGTGCAGAAATGTGTTTCTTCATTATCTACTTCTTGAGCGTTTGCATGGTTTCCAAGTTTTCCTGGCATAAATCGTGCTGTTAGGAACTTTGTGGTGCTTGATCCAGAGTGTCCAGGAGCAACTGTTTTCCTCACTGTATGAATGTGCATGGAGGGCACTGAGGAATTGGAGGCTGCACACCCCTCACGCCCGCCACAAACCAGCTGCGCCATTTTCAATTCTATCGTGAATATATCTGGAGCTCCATTGTTCTAAGCCCTCTTCCCGATTTAGGATTGCCAGATGTATCTTTCTATCAACATGGCAGATATAAGATGGCATTTATGACCATAATTTCTATTTCTCTTATTATTAATAAGACTGAGCATCTCTTCTCAATTTATTGGCCTATTGTGTTTTTCCTCTGTGAAATGCCTGTTCGTGCCTTTTGCCCATTTTTATTAGATTACCTTCCTCTCATTAATGTATAGGCATTCTTTATATATTGTGTATACCAATCCTTTGTAGTATATGTCTTCTAGTAGTTTGGGCTTATCTTTTCACTCTCTTCTTGGGCCTCTTTTAAATGTGCTTATTTCCTGTAGTTTTTATTTTGAAATCATTTCAAACTTCCAGAAGCTTTCCAACAAATACGCTTTTATGCATGAACTTTAGATTCACTAGGTGTTGACATTTTCCCACATTTGTTTTATAATTTTATCTATCTCTTTTCCTGAACTATTTATTTATTTATTTATTTTTATTTTTTATTTTTTGACAGGCAGAGTGGACAGTGAGAGAGAGAGAGACAGAGAGAAAGGTCTTCCTTTGCCGTTGGTTCACCCTCCAATGGCCGCCGCGGCCAGCGTGATGCGGCCGGCGCACCGCGCTGATCCGATGGCAGGAGCCAGGAGCCAGGTGCTTTTCCTGGTCTCCCATGGGGTGCAGGGCCCAAGCACCTGGGCCATCCTCCACTGCACTCCCGGGCCACAGCAGAGGGCTGGCCTGGAAGAGGGGCAACCGGGACAGAATCCGGTGCCCCGACCAGGACTAGAACCCGGTGTGCCGGCGCCGCTAGGCGGAGGATTAGCCTAGTAAGCCACGGCGCCGGCCTTCCTGAACTATTTAAGATTAAATTTCAGACATCATGATCCTTTACCTTCTCTCAAAAATTTCAGTGTGTGTTTCCTTAGAATAAAGACATAAAGAAATTCACTTACCAGGCCCAGCACTGTAGGGTAGCAGGCCAAGCCATTGCCTGTGATGCTGGCATCCCATATGAGAATCAGTTCAAGTCCTGGCTACTTTACTCCCAGTCTGGCTCCCTGCTAATGCACCTGGGAAAGCAGTACAAGGTGGCCTGAATACTTGGGCCCCTGCACCCACGTGGGAGATATGGTGGAGTTCCAGGCTCCTGGTTTTGGCCTGGCCATTGCGGCCATTTGGAAAGTGAACCAATGGATGCTCGCTCTCTCTCTCTCTTTCTCTCCATCTCCATCCCCTTCCCTTTCTTTGTAACTTTGCCTTTCAAATAAATAAATAAACCTTTAAAAAAAATAAGCTCACTTACATAATCCCAATACAATAGTAAGAACCGGGAATATTAAAAACTGAATGAAATTCACATCATGTAAAAGGAACTTTTCAAAATGCTGTGATAAGACCATTTCTATCTTAGTTCCAAAACGTCCAATCACCTCACAATGAAACCCAGCACCCATGCCGAAGGTGTCTCCCTCGGACTCCCCTCCGCCCTGCCCCCACCACAACTGCCGATCTACCTCTTGATCCACTGGCTTCACCTTCTGGAAATTTCATATAAAAAGAATCATACAACAGGTAACATTTTTCATCTGGTTTCTTTTACTTTAGCACAAAGTGATTGAGGTCCCTCCACGCTGTCACATGTATTTGTGACAGTATTTCAGTATTTTGTTCCTTTTTATGGCCGAATGAGACCCCATTGTACATATAAACCACCATTTGTTTATTCATCCGTCCGCTGATGAACTCTAGGTTGCTTCCGCCTTTTGGCATGAGAGTAGTGTTACTATGAGCACTCGTATTCAGCTGTTGAGTCCCTGACCTCAAGTCTTCCGGACACACAGCTTCGAGAGGGATTGTTGGTCACACGGCAATTCTATGGTTCACTTCTTGAGGAGCCGCCAAATGGGTTTCCACAGCAGCTGCACCATTTAGCACTCCTGCTAGCAGGGCCTGAGGGTCCGCCTTCTCCACCTCCTTGCCCATAACCTTCAGGGCCAGGCCAGGAATTCAGTGTAAGCGTCCCACCTGGGTAGAAAGGACTAAGCCACCAGGACTCAAACCCAGGCACTCCAGATCCCCCACCGGCTCTTTTCCTAGTGGCCACCCCCTGGTGTGAAGCAGTGGCTCCCTGTGGCTTTGTACCTGTTTCCCCCGTGACTGACGATCCTGTGCACGGTCTCCTGGCTGTCTGTGCACCTGCACATTCTTTGCCCGTTTTGGGGCTGCATTGTTTGTCTTTTCTGCTGAGTTGTAGAGTGCTTCATTTGTTCTGGGTTACAGATCCTGGTATGATATGTGGTCTGCCAGCTTTCCCCCATTCTGCACACTGTCTTTTTACTTTCTTTTCCTTTTTTTTAAAGGTTTATTTTATTTATTTGAAAGAGAGTTACAGAGAGAGGTAGAGACAGAGAGAGAGAGAGAGAGAAAGAGAGAGAGAGAGAGAGAGAGAGAGAGAGAATCTTCCATCCGCTGGTTCACTCCCTAAGTGGCCGCAACAGCCAGAGCTGAGCCAATCCGAAGCCAAGAGCCAGGAGCCTCTTCCAGCCTCCCAAGCTGGTACAGGGGCCCAAGCACTTGGGCCACCCTCCGCTGCCTTCCCAGGCCACAGCAGAGAGCTGGATCTGAAGTGGAGCAGCCAGGACTCATTCTGGCACCCATATGGGATGCCGGCACTGCAGGTGGAGGCTTAGCCTTCCACAGCACAGCGCTGGCCCCTCAGATCCACTTTTCAGCCCCATCCCATTCTTCTCTACCTTGGACGCCAGGTCTTTCACTGCAGTCTCATGACTCCTGCGACTGCTCATTCCGTGTTGCTGTCTGTGTCCCGTCTGTGGTCAGCCCGGGTGACCGACGTCGCTGTATCTTCACATTCATGATTGCTTTCCTCTGTGTGCTCTGCCCTGCTCTGAGCCCTGCTGGAGAGCTTGTTTGCAAGCCCTTGGTTGTGGTTGTTTTGTGCTAACATTTATACAGGTTCAACTTTATAGCTTCTGCTTCTCTGCAGAGAGTTCCTATTTTCCATTTGTTTCAAACATGTCCATATTGCTCATCGAGGCATTTGATGATGAGTGCTTTAAACTCCTGTGAGATAATCCAACATTCGTGCCATGGTGTTGGTGTCTCTTATCCGTCTTTCCTCGCTCAAGTTATAAACCCTAAATGTTGTTTTTTAAAATGCATTTTTAAAGATTTATTTTATTTATACAAAATGCAGAGTTACAAAGAGATAGACCTTCCTTCCATCTGCTGGTTCATTCCCCAAGTGGCTGCAATGACCGGGGCTGGACCAGGCCAAAGCCAGAAGCCAGGAATTCCATTGGGGTCCCCCACGTAGGTGCAGGGGCCCAAGCACCTGGGCCATCTTCTGCGGCTTTCCCAAGTGCATTAGCAGGGAGCTGGACAGGAAGTGGAGCAGCCAGGAGTAGAACCCGTGTCCACATGGGATGCCGGCGTCCTCAGCGGCAACTTAACCCCTATGCCACAGCAGTGGCCCCTGAATGCTGGTAAACCCTCCATCTCAGCACCCCTGCTGCTATGCCTTGCTGGGAGACAGAGGTTGGGGGGAGCAGTGGCGCTTTGTAGTCAGCTGGGTAGAAGCCCAAGTTCCCCAGTGGGAACGCCAGGTGTA